CTATGAAAAGGTTCCTCCAGTGCGAAAGCCCCTTATGCTTAGGCGGCAGGAGCAGTAAGAAAAAATATTGCAATACTCTCTTTATTTTAGTTTCTTTATTTTTATAAAACTCCACTTGTACACAATCCTAATGTACTGTATAATATAAAATAAATAGACCGTAGTACGAATGCACTGATGTTTTCATGGCCAATTCCAGTTGCCAATTTTGTATTTTTCTTTTTTTTAAATTAATTTTATTAATTTTTTTTAAGCAAGAGACAAGAAAGAATGAAAATATGAGTACGTGAACAAGATGTGTATTTGCTTTGTTACAGGCCATCTGTAGCCATATACAATTAGAGGCAACTTTGGCATTTTAATCACAATCCAAACAAAAATGCTACACACATCTAGCATGAACAGCTTTTGATTTAAATTAGATTGAATAATTTCTAAATTTGAAGCAAATACAGAATGATCTGACCGTAGCTTTGTGAAACTATACTACATAAAACAACTGAATGAAACCAAAACAGCAGAAAGGCTTTTAGGATGAGGGTGAGAGGTACATCTGATAACAGCATTAAGAGGGAATAGGACCATATTCTCACAGGGGGAACTCGGGAGTGTTCAAGCATTTCAAATGTAATTACTGTGCCTGAAATGCTCAGCGCTTTTCACCTGTGTTTGCCAGTTTTTATTTTTTTTTGTTTTTTTTCCCCGGGGCCGGTTTGCTTTCGCCTCAGTTACAGAGACGTAAGCCTTGAACAAGTGTAAATATTTGGTGACGAGTAGTTGCTAAGATGTTCTAGGAGGATGCTAGGGTGTTGCTTACTGGCCCAAGTCACAAAGCTCTGTAATATGCAAGTCTACAACATTATTAAGGAACGTTTTACCCGTTCTTTCCTCTGCCAGGCAAAAACACATTCTGATCGCTTAGAAATGACCTGTAGTCAACAAAACACATGATTTGAGGCATTACTCATGTCAGAAGTTTATTGCTTAGGGTTAAGGGACTGTTTGAATCCTTAAACCAAGTATCATTAATTATGTTGCCTTGATGTATAATTGTTGTCGTTACAATGCGAATCACCATAATAATGCTATTTTTCCCACTAGCGAATCGCTTTTTACTTGCCATATTTAAATATAAAGCATTATTACGGTTATTACATGTAAATTGTGAAGCTCCCCCGCCCCCCATGTTATAACCAAGTACAACATCAGTTCAGCTGTTTTGAAAAACCTTAAACATTTGTTGCTCGCATTACTCCCATTGGTATTGTTCTTGGCGTGTCTGGTTTCGTTTTGAGGACGTTCTCACAAGTCAGCTAATGTCAAACTCTAGCGTTGTGCGTGTAATGTGTTTAGCAGTAGATGCCCTGTAGTCATTCATGTAATGGATTACAAGAAGAGGTCTGAACTGATCCGTGGATCATCCATCCATTAAACCAGTAGTGTCCAAATGTAGCGCCAAAGGTGCTCAATCATTAAAACAGTTAAACAGTTTAGGCATATTGACCCTGTTATTCATTTTAGCTTGTATGTAGAGCTTAACAAACATAATCTGGAACTAAAATCCTGTTTTCGCCATAAAGAAACTGATTTTTTTTTTTTTTAATTATATAAATCCGAGAAGATTATATGATTTCAATGGACACATTTTTATTAT